AACAGTATCTAAGTACCGCTCACCCTCCCAGTCCTCCGGAGCTCCACCGTTTCCATCTGACATTAAACTGCTGAGTGTCAAGGTTCACATCTTGGCCTTCCACTCTTTCCATCTCACCTTCAGAAACATGCCTTAAATTACCACTTGTACGCAGGTCACTCTCAAGTTTCTATCGCTATCCTGAAATCTCTCCTTTGTCAGGCCATTCCCTGAATCATGGTGGACAGTACGGAAGGTGTTCTAAGCATGCTAGCTCCCATAATCCCAGCACTCAGGAGGCTGAGGCAAGAGGATTACTTAAGTCCAAGAGCTTAAGATCGATCAGTCTAAGAAACATAGCAAGACCTGTCTCAAAGTAATATATTAACTGGTTTCACTGAATTAAATAAATATAAAAAGTGTTCCATGTATATGGCAAGTTTCTCTCCAGTAGTCACCACCTTATACAACATGTATGTAATCATCCTATGCAATGGTGCCCACAAGGGTACTATGTGTGGTAGCTTTGCTCTAATCTTATAAGACCTGTATCTGCATCTGCCCTCAGATCTTAGTTACCATTCAGTACGAGTAACTAGCCCCAGGATCCCTAGCCATTCGGGTGAATTACCTGGGTCATTCTGGTATCACCACTTTTCAAATGTGACCCTCCCTAAGTTTTTCCATACATTAATCTGCCAAACCCTATGTACCTGTAATAATGTGAACCCCTCTTTACAAACTGAGTAATGTAAGTGAAAGACACATCACTCAACACACTACATAAATTCCACAAGTAAGTAAATTCAAGGATACAATACAGATTGGACACCAATAATCTGTGCCCTAAACTAAAGTTTTACATCCAGTGGACACCAACATGAAATCTGCAACCTGGAACCATCTTTAAAAGCCAACTAAACCCTTCTCCTCATTTATAGACACAAACACATACATGAAAGATACATGAATTGCTCTCTTTAGGAAGTGAACTACATGAGCCACCTGAACATTTATTTTTAGGCAGCTAATCACTAAGCAATCTGACCTATCTGATTGGAACTCCCTGCCCACCTGACACACTCCTTGGTTATCCTTCAATTCTCCAATGGTACATTAAGGTTCCATCATCTGCAATAATCCCTCCACACTATTAGCAATGGTTCCATTTATAAAAATCTATCTGTATGCACCTTAAAGCCCAATTTTAAGGTTCCATCATTTGCAATAATCCCTCCACACTATTAGCAATGGTTCCATTTATAAAAATCTATCTGTATGCACCTTAAAGCCCAATTTTAAGGTTCCATCATTTGCAATAATCCCTCCACACTATTAGCAATGGGTCCATTTATAAAAATCTACCTGTATGCACCTTAAAGACCAATTTGAAATCCCATAGTTTTCTTCCATGCACTCTCTCTTCTCTATATCCCCTGGCCTTCACCACAATTCACCTTATCTACATACACATTTTGCCTTTTAAAACTAAGCACACGCTCCTTAAGGACAGAAGATGCATTACATCATCACCAATGCACAGCCTCAGTGGTTTCCTGTTCTAATGAATAACCAGGGCCAGAGCAAACCAAAAGGATCAATCACATCACATGAGGACCACTGGCCTATAAGACAGCCTTCACACTGAGAGCTCCTGAAAGAACGGAAAAAATGAGTAAAGGTTCAGGAGATCCATCCTTCATTTTACATACATTAGCACCTATCAGGTAACAGGCAAGACTCCAAGAGCCCGTTTAAAAACTCATGTAATTTCTAACAACCTAGTAAGGTAGAACTCTGAATAGCTCACCTTGCAGATAAAAAAAAAGGAAGCATACAAAGACCACATAGATTGCTCCAAATCACTGATCCAGAATCTGAAGCCAGGGCATCTGACTCAAGAATCCACACTCCTAACCAATAAAACTGTGCTGCCTCAAAGGAGCAATAGGGGCAGGGGTCACACTAAAATTGTAATATTTATTTTTAGTAAAAGTGATTTTAAAACCCCCAAACTACAACTATCACAGATGCTAAGTCCTCTCACCCCAAAAAAGAGTCCAAGACGTCCCTAATTATTTTAATTCTCAAAGCATCATCATATGACACCAGGGCTTTTATAGGGCCCCTCCTATTACCATTTCCTGCCTCTTACAGTGCTTCCTGCCAGCCTCTCAAATGCTGAGGTCTTCCTGCCCCATTTTTCCAAGTCTTTAAATAGCTTCTTTCTATCTAGCTGTAAGGCTTGGCCCTAACACAAATGTCACATCTGGCCTCTTGAACACTTTCATCAGCTTCACCTTGAAGCCACATTCATGTTAAAGGTCAAGAAAGAATGTCCTGAACTGTAGCCAACCCACTCTCACCAGCCAGTAACGCTTGCTGCAAAATAGATCCGATGTGCTACACAAGACAGGTGACAGCTGGGAACACCAGATAGATGACAGCTGCAAGCTGAATGTGAGGGTAATCGGGGTAATCACTAGCCCACTGGGCAGAACTTTGAAACTCTGTAAAAGGACATCCTGACAAAATTTCAAGTAATATGACACTGCTCTGACTGGTGGGAAGCAAGCATGAAGCAGACCTTACCGAGCTGTTGCCTTCCAGCAGTGTATCAGGCAACTATGAGGGCAAAGACAGGGAGATGAGAAAGAATATGCTTTTCTTCTGGAGTAAGGTACAACTGGCCATGCTGTATTCACTACCGATGGCGGAAACTCACAAAGACAGCGAGATGAGAGAAAATCACCTCTACATGTTAAATCCCACGTGATGTAAAAGGATTTTTAAACTTAAGACAGATTCCTGTTAAAAGTAAGTTTGGCAACCTATGGCCTGTGGACCAAATCAATCCAGCAGGCTATATGTACAGCCCTTAAGCAAACAACAATTTTCACATTTTTAAGCAATAAAAAATAGAAACTATTTGTGGCCTGCAAAGCCTAAATATACGTTCTAAGAAATGGATAAATTCAGTTCACCATCACTGGCTCACACACTAAAACAAACACACTAGCTCTCAATACTTTTCTCTACCCAACTGGATGAAATAAATTAAAAGTCTGGCCTCTTCAGTATCTACCTTATAGTGTTTGGGCTCATACTAATAAAGCACCACAGTTAGAAGGTAGAAAAACATTTGGGAAGTGATTAGAAAGTAGCACTAGCTCTGCTGGATCTTGCAGTAATCTACAGACACTCATCATAGATTGCCTGAATCATTTAGTAAGCTGAGTTACCTCTTCTTGTATTTTTATGACACCTGTTAGTTCTTGTCTATTCTATGACAATCGGACTAATAATTTATATGTATACTTTCATTTAGTTCCTTCTCTCCTACCAAATATAAATTCTATAAAAGCCAGGATTTTTTCTGCTTTGTTCACCAACAATTCCCTAATTGTCAGAACGATCTGACAGTTTGTAGGTTCTCAATACATTTAGCATTAATAATAAATCCACTGAGGGGAACAAGCTAATAATTATTGAGACAAAAAAAGAATGATTTGGCCCATTCGACAGTGTCAAAGCTGGCACCTGAACTCAGGCAGTCTGACTAGTCAGAATGGAACATTTCACAGAAATATTTTATCTGAATGTCTTTTCTTGCACTATTAACGTGCAAATTACTACTCGAACCGCCATCCGAGTTCGGATTGAAGCCAGCAGTGCCAATTTTAAATTTTTATTCTCAGATGGATAATCCATGTGCTTTGGAAAAACACACACAATCACAACACCTTCATGTAGTCATTCTAACAAAAACACCTTTACTAAGTAGTATAATGATGCCATTTTGTCAAACAGAAAGTTTTTGTAAAACAAAATGTAACTGCAAAGCTTGGTGACAGTTAAATTCTTTCATTTTTAAAGAAAAAGCTGCTGAAGAAGTAACACACTAGTAACTCCAAGTTCGGAATTGAGTAATAAAGTCAAAATCGAGGCCAAAAAGGGAACACAGCTGTGACAGTTACAAGCAGAAAACCCACCATGATTATCTCCATGCAGAAATACTGAGCTGTGCATACAACAAGTGCTCACTAAATGCTCTGAGAAGAAATGAAATCAAAGGCCTTAGCAGAGTTTTATAAACCTTCTTGGGTTCTATACACAAAAAAAATGGTACAGCAAAAAGCAAAAAGCACTCGTGTTAATGTCTTCTAATGGAATAAACCCGAGAAGCTACAGATGTATCTCAGCGGTGGAGCACTAAAACACCTGGACAATGTTGAGTGGAGTAGCAAGGAGTATTGGGGGTCCCCCAGGAGCACTCTATCCCTAAGCTACACTCCCAGCCCATTTTATTGTTGAATCATGCATTCCTAAGCCTATAAACTGCCCAGACTGGGGTTGAAATTTAAAATCCTCCTGCTTCAGCCTCCCAGAGTGCTGGAATTACAGGCATCAGTATATTTTAGGGTTTTGTTTTGGTGCCGAAGACTTTGCACGTCCTAGCTAAGCAGGCACTCCATCACTAACGAGCCACTTTCCCACTCCCCATGTCAGTCTTTGGGCCTAAACAAAGAAATGAAAAACCGAACAGCAGTCCCCATCACCCTGACGTCTTTCATCTATCACTAACAAGGGTCTCCCACATTCCATCCACCTCAAAACATGTTACGAGGAAAAGGTCAACCCAGCCAAAATGACCGCTGCGTCAAACTTAGGAGACTAGAGCTGCAACCCAACAAGCACACCTGCCACCTCGCAGAAGCCGCGGAGGCCTGGGGCCCACCCCCGAGGGGCACGCGGGGAGCGGGAATTGGAGCGCGAGGGGCGGGGCCGACGCGCCTTAGCCACGCCCCCAGGCGGTGCCGAAGCCCAAAGCTCTCGAACCGCCATCCGAGTTCGGTTTGAAGCCGGAGGCGGGAAAACCTTGCGGGATGGGACCCGGACGGGATGGGAACGGGGAGGGGACGGTTAACAGCGAATCGCGGGGCGGACCCGCCGCCCTCCTGCGTGGGAGGGAAGACCCTGGCCCCCAGACGCGGCGAGCCCCTCGCCCGGCCCGTGTTTACCAGCGCGAGCAGCACAGCAGCTGCTCCAGGCGGACGAGTGCGGCGCGGCTGTGGCCCCAGATCCCGCTGGCCGCCGGTTCCATGGCGGGCGCCGGGCACGGCTGGTTCCCGGAGCGGACCCTCGGTTGCCGGCTCCCGGGCATCGCCCCGCCGTAGCGAGGTCGGCTTCTGGGACGCAGCAGGCAGACAGAGTCTCGCGACGTCGGACACAGCGCAGGGAGCCACCCGACTCGGCGGAGCGGTTCCCGCCACTGGGCCGGTGGGACGCCTAGGGGCGGGGCTGGCGGCTCAGTGTCCGGGCGCGAGACGCTGGGCGGAGCCGCCAGCGCGCCCTGCGGGGAGGAAACAGCAAGGGCGGGTCGAGGGGTGGGCGGGGCCACCAGCACTCCCAGAGGGGAGGGGGAACGTCAAGGGCAGGTCCTGGGGTGGGCGGGGCCACCAGCACTCCCAGAGGGGAGGGGGAACAGTAAGGGTAGGTCGTGGGGTGGGCGGGGCCACCAGCACTCCCAGAGGGGAGGGGGAACGTCAAGGGCCGGTCGTGGGGTGGGCGGGGCCACCAGCACTCCCAGAGGGGAGGGGAACAGCAAGGGCTGGTCGTGGGGTGGGCGGGGCCACCAGCACTCCCAGAGGGGAGGGGGAACCGCAAAGCCGCGTCGCGGGTGGGCGGGGCAGCGTTGGCGCCCGAGAAGTTGGCGGGAAGGCGAGCGGGCGGCGCTGGGGCGCCAGAGGCGAGTCCCGGGAGTCTGTGCTTTCTGGAGTTTGTTTCCTTGGTCTCCTCGGCAGAGTCTGACCGGAGGAACTTCGCAAACGGAAGGAATTGTGCTTGAGCATTATTGGTAAAGAGCCGTGTTTGACTTCTGTTGGACTTTGAAACTCTTTGCCCATGGTGGTGAACGTAGCCCTCGGAGTTTTCCTAACAAGGTAACTTTTCCTCTGTTCCCTACACTAACTGTGGGGTGTGAGAATGAGATGCATACAAGGAAAGTTTCCCTCTGGTAGAATCTTAGTTAAAACCCTGGAGGTATTTTGCTGCCCTCTGGCTAACATGCCAAATGTTCTCCACCTGTCACAAGGCTTTCTGTCCTGTCAAGGAAAGTCCATACACCTTGGTGTTGTCAAGTAGTTCCTTTTGATATGGCTCGCCAATTAAGAGCATTTCCGGTCTTTATTGTTTTGAACAAAGAATTGGAGGAAGAGAAACCATAAAATGGTGCCAAAAGTTTATTTGAAAAATGAAGGGGTATGGGGAAACTAGTTCTGCAGAGTGAATGGGGACCAAATACAGGAGAGGATAAATGCCAAAATAAAAATACACCCAGTGTCTGTAATGATGGCAACAGTGAATTCAGAAATGAGATGACTTTCCCACTGCAACTTCCTATTCTGTTTCTTTCCTTCCAGCCTTACACTGTTATGTGTGTATTTTGTAACCTTCAACCCTGGATCCTGTATTTGAAGAGCCCGTTACTTCTTCCATGTTCATGTATGTATGTGAATGCATGTGTGAGCACACATGTGTGTGTATAAAAGATGGGCAACTCTTCTAGCATGCAGTACACAAATAATGTGTCACATTTTAAAATTCTTGGGCTGAGGATTTAGCTCTGTGGTAGAACATATGCAACAAGCCCCTGGGTTCCATGCCCAACTTAAAAAGAAAAAAAAATGTAAATAACTTCTGGAGGAATTGGCCCAGAGAAATGCAATCCATCTACAGGACTTAGTTTATTGCATTATTACTCCCTCACTTTACAAAGACCTAAGTGGCATGTTATTTTCTTTTCAAAGAGTCTCTGCAAGGACCTCCTTCGGACATAAAAGTTCAGGCTGTTGTTCAATTTCATTCCTGATGTATTATTTTCCAATTAAGCAGTATTCTCAAGCATGTTAGACTTTCAAAAGTATTCATCTTTCTTAAGGCAATACTCTGGTTCTGAGAGGATTCTGAGAAATACAAATTAGCTTGCTTTAATCTATTTTTCCGTCCTTCACTCCTTGCCAGTCTCCAGTGATTTCAGTTACTAATTGTCCATCTGTATTTCTACTTTGCTACAATGGCATTTGCAACCTATCTCTCTTTCCTAATTTTCAGGCTCAATAAAATTGTTGAAACTGCCTCAATGGTGATGGTTTTCTTCTGTTATAGTTTGTGAATGGTTTCATAAAGTAGTAAACTTTCTCATATTCACTTGGATAATACAAGAAAAAGGCAATATCTGTAATGCATTTAAGTCCCCGTAATTGGCGGGCTCCAAGGCAGGATGGCATGGCAGAGCAGCTTAATGGGAGAGAGCTGCTTATGGCATGGCAGGCAGGAAGCAAAGAATGAAGAGAGGAGCCAAGAAGGGAGAGACAGTATAACTGTCTGGGTCGTGCACGCAGTGGCCTGGCTTTTCCCACCATAACAGCAAGTCAGCTATAATCCTGTATGATCTAATCACCTTCCAGAGGTCCAACCTGTAATGGCATGAGATGATGTCCATTACTAGAGATTGCCCTAAACCAATGTATTGCACAGCCAATGAAAATCCCTTCACACTGAACTATACTGAATTTTAGATATTAATCACAGAATTTCCCATGAAGTATAAAGATAATTTTATGAATTCTGCCCTTTACACTTCTATAGCTTTTCATTATGGTATCATGTGATAAGATGGACCACTTTAACACTTTCAAGTACATTCTCTTTGTCAAGGACTTTTGTGAAATCCCGAGTTTAAAAATGTTTGAAAGCAATTGCTGTGGAGCAATAAAATAGGGTAATTAATGGTATCCACAAACCACCCCACTGAACTGTCTGTTGTGAGCATTTGGCTGAGCTGATCTTCCTGTGTGAAAGTACTACTGACATAAGTGAAAAGTGATAATCTTTGTGCTATATTTTTTGGAATCCAACATGGCATAGTATGTAGAGCTCAAGACAGGCAAAACTGGCTTATATAGATCAACCCCTGACATTTCCAAGCATTGTGTCTATGGTCCCATTGTTTAACCTACCTTAGAACTTAGTTTCAACTTTTTAAATTTAAAATTAGCATATTCCAACTTCAAGACTGGGAGTAGAGTTTAATAGAGTGCACCTTTGTAGCAAGCTTGAGGGCTTAAGTTTCATTCCCTGCAATTCCCATCTCAAAAAAATACAGGAAGAAGGAAAAGGTATGTCAGTCATTTTCCTAGAATTGTTATGAAAAGGAATTACAGATTATGAAAGTATCCTAAACCAAAGGTATAGTACGACTAATGAAGATCCTTTCACAATGGGCTACTGAACTGTAATACTGTGTATAAACTCAATATTGTAAGTAAAAACTCACAATAAGCACTTAATATATTTTCACATTTTAGGACTAGTTTTATCATTGGGTGGAACTAAGCCACTTACATGCTTTAAAATTCTCATATGAAAGCATACATTCTATACAAGAAGGAACCACTCAACCTGTAATGATTAGGACAGATACTTGCTGTGACAATACTTTTGCCAAAATAATACAATAACTCTGAAATGAAGCTTAAATCCTATGTAATGATCACAGTCTGTTTTATTACCATCTTAAAGCAGCATCTATTGAATTCCTAACACCATCCTTGACATGGCATTAAGGCTTAGTAATTATTGAAAATCTTCATAATTTTTGTTTAGCTTGGAGGTCTTTGATTTGTATCATTTTGTTGCACTTTTAGGAACAAAGCAGCTCAGTAATTTACAAGAAAAAGGTTAATCTTTGCCTCTGCCTATGTACCATAGGCAGATTTATTAACCAAACATACCAAGAGGACCAAAAATAATACCATGCCTGGATATCATAATGATTAATGTGGCTGTTTTCTCGATCACTTGTGCCTACATGTTATTTTCTGCAATAGACTATAAACTGTTTTGACATGCCACATTCTATTTGACTTGCACATATAGATTCAGTCTCAGTGTAAGAAGACTTTGCCATTCAGTGAAGAATTATTGAAGATTCTAGAACCGTCTAGTAGATTTTTGAGATTTTTTTGGAAGAGTATTAATTCCATTCTTGTGGACATCTACCAAATTTCTGTCAAAGGATCAAAAGTAACTCGTCTAAGAACATAGTTACATTAATAAGCCCCTATGGCAGTTGTTACAAATGTCTTGATATCTTCCATATTTCATGATCATTTATCAAATCTGGACACAGATATTTCACTCGTCATTGTCTTTTGTTCAGTGGACTTCAGAGTTCAGCCCACTTCCTTTTATTCCTTGCTACTTTTGAGGCGATATCTCAGTTTCTGTATAGTGTAATTACTGAAGCACATAAAACAGTTATAGCAGGAATTTATCACTTTCAGGTGGAAATGCTCCCAGCCAAATAAAAGAGTAGGAATGCCAGAAGCAATTTATAACAGGCTTACTGACATTTTGTGTCGAGAAGCTCCACCACTGCATAAGCATCAAGTCATAAATCTCTGCAAACGTGATTAAAGAAAGCAAGTGAATCTTCGAGGGGATACTATGATAAAAGAATGCCATGATCCAAAACAGGAAAATTCTGTTTACAAAAATCACCAAAAACAGCTGTCAGTAAAATTTACAAACAGCTTGTTTTAAATTCTGTTAGATTTCAGCAGCTGTTTGTTTGTACATAAAATGTTCATTTAGGAAATGAACATTGGCCCTCATTTGGGTTCCATTGTGTTTCAGAATTTTGTAATCAGTTTAATCAAAATTCATGCAATAATTTAAACTTCTTTCAAATGACAAGTGAAAGGTACCCAATATATTTAAGGATAACTCATAGATAATATATGTTCAATAAATATGGTACTACATGGTGAATCACTGTATGCCATTATCTATACAAGTACTCATTAATTATAAACTCCATTTCAGCTTCATGTTTTCCCATCTATATATGCACGGTTTTGGAAATTATTCCTATTTTGTATTGGACTTATTACTATTGGTAGTTACCCATAATACCCAATAATACTTTTTGGAGTTAGAAGGCTAAATTAAAATTTTGTTACTATTGTGAAGTCATTCTCTGTGAGAGATGCTTTATTAAATCTCTCCTTAATATTATTACATGTGCCTTTATTATTTTTCTCACTACAAAAGATATACATTTTTTTGATCTGTGAAGATGAAAATACCTCACTATTGTCAAATGGATAAATTAAATTGATACACTTAGCAAAATCAAATAGTTTTCAGTAAATTCCAGCACTCATTACTGTATGCAGAAACTCTACATTCAATAATAAAATGGAATAATAAAATGAAGGCCTAGGGATATAGCTCAGGGGCACAGCGCCTGCCTGGAAAATGCAGTCCTGAGTTCAATTCCTGGTACAAAAAAAGAAAGAATAATGAAATAGTAATCCTAGTTCTCAGCAGATGGAGGCAAGAGGATCACTGCAAGTTAGAGACCTACTGGAATACATCTGAGTTCAGGGCCAGCCTGGACTATATAGTGAGGCCTGTCCCAAAATAACAAATAATAATAATAATGTGAAGGCTAAATGTGATAGTGCACATCTGTAGTCCCAGATACTCATGTAATTTCATGCTAAGGCCAGAAGATCACAAGCCCAGGAGTTCAAGACAAGCCTGCACAGAATAGCAAGTCCTCAACTCTAACTAAATAAATTAAAATAATGTGTTTTTAAGATAACTACAAAACCTCATGGATACATAACTAGACAGAAATATATTGTTTAACTTTTTAAAACTGTCTATGCCCCTCAAAAACATTTGCATGTGTGTGTTTACTTATGTCATTTTCAGTTATTGATTTGAGAATTAATTTGTAAGATTAGGAAGTTGAGGCAAATCAAAAAACATTATCTTAAAAAGAATTATAATAATACATCCTTCTTCTTTCTTAAACCAGACATGAACAATGATTTTCTTTCCTTTCTCTGGCATACTCAAACCACTGAAAAAAATACATACGTATTCCATTGGTTTTAATTTCTCTTAAGAGTCTGTAGAGTCTTAACCATTGCTCTTTAGGGTAGACATCCTCATCATCCGACTTGACAGACGAGAAAAAGGTTCTCCAAGTTTTTAAGTGACTTCCCAAGGATATACCTTAAAGTAGCAGAGCAAGGAAATAGATTCAGGTCTGCCTGACTTCAAAGCCCAAGTTTTCAGTACCTACATAACCTGGTTTTAATTAAGGACATTGTTTAAAGCTAAATCAGTTGAAACACTGGAGTGCATACTAATTTTCAGTACAATTATGCACTGTAAATTACAGAAATTTTAAGTTACAATGTCAGAGAATTTACTGCCTAGTTACAAGAATAATACAAGAAACAATATAAATAATATGAAATAAATTATAATTAAGTGTTCAATTGTGTGGTACATTATAAGTTTCACAAAAGGGTAAGGAAGAGAATGCTTAAAATTGTTCACTGAAGATTGGTATAATTATGGGAAGCTTTGTGTGAGAGGTGAAAGTGGAAGTTAAGTCTTGAAAGATGAGTTTGAAATAATACAAGGGAGAAAAGATTATTTCAAAGGGGCAAAATTAAAGGAAACAATACACATAGGAAAACATCGATACCAGGATACCAGTTTGACTAGAGCAGAGATACTGCATTGAAATACAAAATAGCTGATTTTGTAGGTCAACAATAACAATTTCATTTGGCTCAGGCTAATATTATACCATTATGGTTAGCATACAGCTGACTGCAGTAGAGAACTACAATTTGAAGAACAATCAGTGAAACATCACCTTCAGAGAGAAAAGCTACCAAGAATCAACAAATAATGACTGAGATTATTATCCACTGCCTAGGGCCACCAACATAAACCATGACATCCACTCTTATGTCACCTATGGAGATTTGGAAATATCATGCTCAGATATTCAGAGAAAATTCTTAATCTAATCAAGGTGAATACAGTAAGATTAAAGAACTGAAATTAAAAAATACCTGCCTTTTCAGGGCAATTTGAGCTAGGAAATAAATATTATCAGATTATTAGGAACAATGCACATTTACATCACATTAGCATCCACTAGTGGTGGTGTTTGCTGGCATCTATGGGCTCACAGGAGCCATTTATTACATGTTTAGGAATTTTATCAGGCATTTGTTAAAATCACCATTGTTTAGAATAATATGGTGTGTAGGCTCATCCTGCTAGATGGTCCTTGGGTAGAAGCAGATTACTTGAGTTTTTTTCTGATCATGTTATCTTCTCAACTGAGCTCTAATTTCACACACAGCGAATTCATGTCAAAGATTTTCACATCTTTCTGGCTTATTGCTTTAGGTGAACATGGATGCTGTGATAGCAATAATTATCAAAACTGAGAAAGAGCAGGAAAAGAAAAAATATCCTTTGTTCTGCAACTTTACAATGGTAAAAAAATACAAAACTAAAATGAAAAGTACATTTTAAATGTATAATACAAAGAGTCATGGGTTATTGATGGAGTAGAGAAACTAACAGACAAGAAGAAAGGTTGAGATGACTACTAATGGACAGGAAAAGAAAAGTCAAGGCAGTGTTCTTAGCATTCTGAGAGGCTGAGGAAGGGAGGTCCTGACTTCAACTGCAGCCTGTGTAATTAGTGACTTAGTGAGATAGTATCTCAAAATAAAAAAATAAAGAAGATTGGGAATATAGTTCAGTATGAAGGTCCTACGTTCAATCCCCAGTAAGAGACACGCGCGCACAAAACCAGGTTGGCACGGGGGGTGTAGCTCAGTGAGAGTGTTCTATGAGGCTCTGGTCCAATTCCTAGCAGCTTGAGCCAAGCTTTTTGTTCATGCTGAGCCTCAAGCCAGGATACTTTGGAGGCAGGAGACTAGGGTATTGCAAAACTTGCTGGGGAAGTAGGTGTGAAATGTTAATTACAAAATGCCATGTCTCAAAGCCCTCCATGTAGATTTTCAGGAGAAAATGATACAACAGCCTTTGACTGACACCAATCTGAGGCGTGGAAAATACAAAAACGAAAGTCCCACTGAGCTCTTTGCTACTGTGCTCTCACAGCAGTCTACGCTCATCCAATAGATGGTTCTTCTTTTCCTACTTTTACTTGGTCCAAACCGTCTGCAGAATCTGTTTCATTTCCTACCCTCACTACATGTGAAACCTAGATACCATTTGTGCTTGTTTTGACCAATTCTGTGCTCAGGACAGAAAGAACCTAGAAGCCACATCTAGGAGACTCTGGCATCCAAAAACCTGGCAACAGCTCTGGACTTGGACTATGTTTTAAAATTGTGTACAGAAATTAGTAAGTACAAAGTCAGCAAATGGGACACGAGCAAAAACGAAACAATAGCAACAAAAAGATGTATGTTTCTGCCCATTCTTCGTTTGCTATGTTTAATGCTTGGTAAGCTATTTAATAGTTAATAGGTTCATTTAATTTAATTCTAATTAACCTCATGCATCAAATAGTTTTGTAGCGCTTACTATCAATCAGTCACTGGGCTAGATGCTAGAAATACAGGGTAAAATGAGTGCCCAGCCTTGTCCTCATTGAGTTTGCAACCTTGAATTCCCTTTTTCAAAGCTCTATCATAAGGAAAATAATAATTGCCTTCTCATAGTGTTGCTGTGAAGATCAAATAGGATTACCTTATATAAAAGTAGTGTGTAAACCATCCATGTGAGAGATTATTATTATACTTCTCTTTGTTCAAATTCAACATAAGAAATACTCAGCCAATCCCACATTTGTTAAAGTTAAAACAAAATTACTAACTTCAATTGTCAGTGCACAATTGCCTTTAGAAAAAAATACCTTCTTTTAAAAACCTATGAAGTTTTTGTGCAACTCCCATTATGATCACATAATGTGGCTTGCTTTGAAATTTCTCTTCTCTATTTCATTTCTAGGTAGGAATTAAATTTCTTGTCTTGAATTATAGGGTGCCAGAACAAACAGTTAAAGTACTGAGCAAGAAGCACACAAAATCTAACTCATTCTGTCTTTGGAAGTGAACTGCAGACCAAAAAAAAGGCCCTGTAATTTAAAGATAGCCTTAGACTCTAGGTAATTTTTTATTATACATCAGTACAATACAATGAAAAATCTATATCTAAAGATAATTTTTAAATAATCATTTTATCTCCCCAGAGAATGAATTTATTTTTTTAATCCAGAAACATAGACCATTATCTTTTATTTATAAACTTTGTCTCTTTAAATAAAATTACAGCACTCACAGATCAAGCAATCTTGATAAGATCAGCTCTGTTAAGTGTTTTATAATTATTCAAGAATTTTTAAGTATTACTTGAAATGACTTTATCTTGTATTTCAAGTATTACTTATTGGTGATTATACCAATTTTGAAATAGTGGTCTGATACTAACAGACCACTATTTTTTTTTTTTTTTTTTTTTTTTGCTTTTTACCCTGGTTTGGCTTTACAGCTGCTATAGACCTTGTGATTTGCCAACTAACCACAGCAATAAGCATCTTTTGGTTAAAATATTGCCTTTTGTGTTTGATTCCTCAGGTAGCTCCAGAACAGCTCCCAAGGTGAAAAACAGCCAGCTCCCCTGACCCAGAAGCTCCTCAGCCACACCTCAGTCTGTGTTAATAAAGTGATTTTTGAAAAAACCCTGGATAATTACAGGATTGAGAATTGGTTGCCAGGTAACCTACCAAGTACTCAAGAGGTTTGAATTCAAAGCTCCACCCATCTGTCCTCTGGAGAAGGGAAAGAATAGCTAAATTTAAATTCATTACTAATAGATGATGATTTAATCAATGATATTTACATAATAAATCAATAAAAACACAAAGAGATGAGGCTCAGCTGGCTTCCAGATAAGGGGATACATGGTGACTCCTCGGTGGATAGAGCACTGGAGAAGGCGTGGAAGCTCTGCACCCCTTCTCGCCTACATTTCCATGTCATCATGTAAACTGGCATGTGAGAGACCAGTGCTGTGGGTGGTAAGAAGAATTTACTAATAGTCAAGGAATATAGCGTGAAAGGCCAAGACTTTTATATTTGATTTGCATATAAGTGAGGGTCTGAAAACATCATTTCAGGAGTACTTTTGTTATGCTATGGGCAATGGGGTCCTGGACAGATTTCTAGGTTCTTGTGTGCAATAAATAAAGAATTGGACATGGCATCCAACAATAAGTAAAAAGCAGCAAGGTTCAATGAAGTTTAATTAGTAGTACATTCAGAGAGAGCAGTCTCATGCAGTGGAAAGGCAAATGGTGGCATCAATGGAGGGCGTTGGGCTTAAGAATTTGATTGATTGTCTTTTTGAGATAGGGTCTTGCTATATAGTTCAGATTGGCCTTGAACTCACTCACTGTGTAGCTCAAGCTCACCTCAGGAACTCACAGCAATCCTCTTGCCTCAGTATCCCAAATGCTGGGATTACAGGTGTGTACCACCACACCTGTCAAGAATTTAAAATGTTGCAACAGATCTAGAGCTCCTCCCATTGGATCTTCCAGAGTGTGATTGACACGTTGCTGGGTCAAATCAGGTGAATCTCTCTTGCATGTCCTTTCCCATAATTCACTTGGTTATAGTTGGTGTATGAAATGCAGTTCATATGCATGGAACTTCAATGAACTCCAAGTGAAGAAAGGTTACTGTATAGATCATGGCAGAAAATCTGGCTGAATAGGCCCTGGTTTGGGACTTCATAATTTTTCAAGGCAGTCTTAAGGGTCTTTGTTTTTCTTATTTCTGCCTCAGCATAGTAGGCCTTTGGAAAAAGGTAGGAGCATTGGGTCTGGGATATTGTCACGGGGGTTCTATTGTCCAGCCATTTCAGTTCTATGGAAAATGACATAATGTTTTTGTTTGACATGGTCCAGTGCCATTGGCACTGCTTAGAAATAGTCCTTCTGGTAAAATTAATTGACAGTTGTGTTGATAGGCTAATATTAATGGTCAAGGTTGTTGGGCGCAGGCGCTCAACATACCATACCCCACCCGGGACTAAGGACCACGCCAGCTTCCGCAATGCGCTACGTCCCTCTTTAAATTAGCCAACCCGTGCGCACTTCGTGCTCACTCCGTACTCTGTGGCAACTCCTGATTGGCCACAGCTGGATATAGTAGCCAGAGTCTGCGTCCCATTCCCGCCCTGCTTCCTCGTGGCAGCCTGTGATTGGTCACGGCCAAATATATAAACCAGAGCCCGCGTGAATAAAGCAGCAGTTAACTGTCGCCCACAAGAGCGTCTCCTGTCTCATTGGGGAGCTGCGCCGGTCAAAGGTTATCAGAATAAACTATATATGTTTGTACTTAAAAGGGACTTTTGACATATTGAGGTAAGGGGAAAATAGTATTCTTTAAAATATGAAAGCAGTTAGGTTAGTTAGTAAGGTAACATAATTCTTGGGCATAGTTCACAAGGAATAAAGTTAATATTCTACAAATTCAATACTCAGTGGCAATGTGCCCTGTAATAAAACAGTGGTACCATGATTTCTCACATCTTCCTTTGTATCCTTTGTAATATGCAATGTAATAAATTGATAAATGTATTTCCTAGACTTCTGTGAGCCACTATATTAAATTATCTAATGGGAAGAGCTTGAAATTAACATCCAAAATGAGGACATTCTTGGGAGGCTGAGTTATCAACCTGTAGGTTGCTGCTTCCTCCACGTAGTGTCAGAAATGAACTAGAGGACACTAGGTGATGTACACTGCAGAACCAATTGATTCGTTGCTGTTACTGGAAATTTCCACACAATTCTTTATAACTACTGCTAAATGAGAGAATAGAAAAAGCACTTGATGTTTGTTTTTGTAGCAGTAGAGGTTGAATCCAGCACCTGACCCATGCTAGGCAAGCATTCTTTCAATGAGTGACATTCCCAACCGGTACATTGATTTTGATTCCTATATTTTCAGAAGAGGTAATCTTAGGCTGATAGTGAGACATTAGCAGGCCTGAGGGATAAAGGAGAAAACCAAATTAGAATGTGTTACCAGTGAAGTAGAGAAAGACTTCAACATGCAATGCATTTATAATCGTTTGTTAGTCTCAGACCCTAAGTGATTGCACAGAGCACAATGATGGCTTATGGCTGGCTATCCACTGTATTCCATCTCATAGTTGGTCACCTGGCCATTTAAATCCAGTACAAAGCATACAGCACTCTTGGCATCCATGGCCTACAGCCCAGTGATATTGCAACAGAGATGAGCCTAAGATATCACCTGTTAGATAAAAGAAACTAACCACTGGGGTAAGAGCCAATTCAGGCAGCTAATTAAGCATATATATATATATATTTTTTTTTTTTTTTAAACAAGAACAAAGGATAAAAGTTTAAAAAGGAGGAGCAATAAGGATCTTTCCTCCCATAAATAAAATATGCTAACTAAATTAATAGCTCCTCCCTAATCTCCAGGCTGGGTTTGCACAAATTTAGAAATGCAGAGTAAACAGCTTCCTTTGAACTAGCTGAATAACTAATTTTCTTTAGGCTCCAAACCCACAAAGCCACTCTAAAACAAGTCCCTGCTGCTCTGTTTACAGATGTAAGGCCAAAACAAAGAAAATACACTGGCATTTCCATTTCTGAAAACCTCTCATGGTGCACCATGGGCTTTTTTTCTTCTTATTTGCAGTAAATGTTTCCTTAACACCCTTCTTTTGTCTAAGATTTTATTCTTCAATTTAGTGAGACAAAAAAACGTGATTTATATAAAATTAACTGTTTCAGTACCAGGAATGGAAATGTTTCTTAAACCCTCCTACCTGGACCTTGATACTGGTTTAAATTAAGAACATACCTTTCTCAAATTCTTTCATAATTTCCTTAAGTGATTAAAGCCACTGAGAAAACACTGACCATCTAAAGAGGATATGAAGAGGTTTTGCAATGTTAAAATAACGTCTAAGTAAATGTAGTAAAACTTTCCTAGTTCTGTGAAGTATAGGAATAATTTTTGTGTGTATAAAAATATACTCAAATATTATAAACCCAAATATTGCATACAGTCATCCAAGTATTATAATCCTTTTTCTAGTTTTCCTCACAATCCAAAAAGTTATATTTGTAATCCCATTGAGACATTATTGAAATCCCAGCAAATTAATTTCAATCTACCACTTCCAAAGCAACCATGGGGAGAATAGAGACACCAAGACATACTCTTAAGTGAAGGGCAGCCGAGAGGTCCTAAATCCAATCCCTGTGAGGATGTGCAGACAAAGTCCCTGATCCTAGGCCTCTCCCAGCATTTCTTACTTTGTGAAGAAGAAGTTGGCTTAAGGATGAGTGATAGTGCGGTTGGTGAGGATTACACTAATAACTTGAGCTGGCTAGCCAGGTAGAGAGAAAAGCACCTCTGCAAAATGCATAGATAAGGAAATGCAGAAGAATCAATTTGCATAATTCAATTAATGTAACAACTGAATTGTTTTAGGAGGCTGTTGCTTCAGGTTTTGATATGTAAACTTTTGTGCTCTGGGAGTCATAGCCTCTTTACCTTGAGTCTCATACCCAGTTGACATTCCTGGAGCTAAAGCTCTATCATCCCCCTGTACTTTTACAGAGAGCACTATGTGAGGAAACAGGAGACTGTCTGATGGCTTTAGAGATTACATATCAGTACCTCTGCCAGCCTTATCTGCAATGCCTAGAGCCAGTTGAAGAGGGAAGAAAACACCATCCCAGCTCTCTACATATCAGTATAAGGAGATCAGTCAGGATATAATCAAAGTTGCAGCAATTGTTCTGCATTCAAGGGGAGTCACTCCTGTTGTCTCCCACACTCAGACTTTTCTGTTTGTTGCTTGAAGGTGTAACTCTCTTTTTCTCTACTTTATAATGAATTCTCCTTAGACTTCTTCATGGCCTTTGTGTCTTGGCTGAATTCCTTTCTCAAAGTCACAAAGAACTCAGGACCCAGGAAAAGAGGGGCTGGTTTCTTGCTTCATCAGAATTCAGCTTCCTGGTAGCGGTAATGTTAATTTTAGAGGGTAATTGATCCACTGATCTTCTAAGAATAAGTTCCCATTAACTTCTTTTCTTAGTCATGGGAATTGAACCCAGACCCTTCTTACTCAGCTACATCTCCCAACTTTTTTATTTTTTCATTCTGAGAAAACATCTTGTTAAATTGCCTAGGTTGGGCTTGAATTTTGCACCCTACTGACTTAGCTTCCTAGAGTGCTGGGATTACAAGTGTGCACCATCTCACGTAGCTTGCCAGGGATCAAACTCATGACTGCCTGCTTACAAGGCAGGCGCTTATGCCGCTGAGCTAAATCCCCAGCCCCTTGCCATTAACTTTTGAAAATAAAGATTATCAATATTCTTTTTATAAAAAAGCTGAAATAAAACACATGTAATTGTTGGGGTAAGAGCCAATTCAGGCAGCTAATTAAGCATATATATATATATTTTTTTTTAAACAAGAACAAAGGATAAAAGTTTAAAAAGGAGGAGCAATAAAAAAGAAAAAGACCGATAAAAAGGAAAAAGACTTTAAAAAAAAGGGGGGGGAGGGGGAGCCTGGGGATTTAGCTCAGCAGCATAAGCGCCTGCCTTGCAAGCAGGCAGTCGTGAGTTCGATCCCTGATACCGATAAAAAGGAAAAAGACTTAAAAAAAAAACCACGTGTAATCATTTTTACAAGCTGGAATATGTTTGATGTTTTTGGTGATAAATTAGAATTAATATGTGTAGTTCTTTTTTTTTTTTTTGTCTTTTTCATTTTTATCGGTACCGGGGATCGAACTCACGACCGCCTGCTTGCAAGGCAGGCACTTATGCCGCTGAGCCAAATCCCCAGCCAATATGTGTAGTCTTGTGCTTTATTTTAAATTTATAACTAAACAAGCATAGAACAGAACCACTATTTATCACAA